TTGAATAACAGAGAGCCACTACAAATGACAGAACTACCAGATGGACCATGGGAAAAAGTCAGCATGGACTTCGCGGGACCCTTACCAAACAAAGATACGATATTGGTAATGTGGGATCAATATGCCAAATACCCAGTAGTCGAATTCGTCACCACAACATCGGCAGAAACAACAATACGTGCGCTGGAACGTATCTTCACTACATATGGTACTCCAAAAGAGATAAAGACAGATAATGGACCACCATTCAACTCGGGAAAATTTTCAGAATTTGCAAAAACGCTGGGTTTTAAACACCGGAAAGTTACTCCAAAATGGGCCGAGGCAAATGGTGATGTCGAAAGAATGATTCAAATCATAAAAAAAAGTGCGAAGATAGCGAAAATAGAAGGAAAGAACATCCGACAGGAAATTCAAAAAACAATCAGAAGCTATCGAGACACGCCACATGGAAACACCGGAGAAACCCCCAACAAGTTGATCTTTGGGAGGGAACTGAATGGTCGTCTACCACCTCGAATGGCGAAGAAGACAGTATCTGATGCAACCATCCGACAAAGAGACGCAACTGCCAAACAAAAGTGCAAGGCCTATGCAGACAGCAGGAGACATACCAAAGCGATACACATCGAAGTGGGAGACAAAATACTTGTGGAGCAGGACAAAATTGACAGCTTAACCCCTCGTTATAATCCGGAACCGTTTGTGGTGATCGCAAGGAAAGGCTCGATGATAACAGCTCAGAAAGGAGAGACTATACTATGCAGAAATACAGCGAAGTGTAAACGTTTGAAATGCGCTGAGGATGAAGAAAGCGACAATGAATGGCAACCATCATTAAGTAGGCAGATGCAACCTGATAGAGAAGAGAGAGAGCCGACGAGACAGAGGAGCCCACGACCAATGAGGAATAGAATATCGACAAAGCAAACAATATACAAGGATTTTCATACATAATAGACGGAAAAATATATAAGAGGGGAGGGATGTAGTGTCGTAGCAAATAACGATCCCTCAGTAACAAAATAGAACTAAATATGCGCATAATTAGGTACTCATGCGTACGAACAGAGACATATAAAAGGACAAATAATATATATATAAAAAAAAACGGAATACGGAGTCTTCGAGTAAACATTAATATTTTCGTTAGAATTGTAATATATATCTAGAAACATAGGTGAATAAATATCGATACTAACACGATATCCTACAATTCTGAAGAAGAAACCCTCCAATATTACAAGGAAACGACATCCATAATGGCCGAAGGTAACTTTAATCTGCGTTCGTGGGCTTCGAACAGCAAGATTCTACACACACAAGCAGCCGATGACAACGTACCCGATAAGAATGAAGTCGCCAACCTCATTGGGTTAAAATGGACTCCTTCGTCAGACACAATAACGTTCAATCCAAAGTTAACCAACTCCTCTTCTGAAAGTATTTACACAAAGCGTGAAGTATTACGACAAGCTTCGAAAACCTACGATCCTCTCGGATTGATTTTCCCAGTCACCATTAAGGCAAAAAATATTCATGAAAGAACTGTGGAAACAACATCTTGCATGGGATGAACCACTCTCTCTAGAACTTAGCACGGCTTGGACGACTATTGCGAAAGAAATTAAGAATGCTACCCAGATTACACCAAGCGCGGATATAGACCGTATCAAACGTGACTCGAGCCACGGTCAAATTTTCCCAATCTAGAATTTTTCAGTTTAATCTTTGTGGATACGAAATGCAATCTTATATTCACACATTATTTAGAAGTACATATTAATTCTTTGAATCACACCAAAATTAAGCAAATATATGTCTAAAGCAGATATTTTGAGTAATATCTTTTTTATTATTATTATTATTTAAAAATATTTAGGGCACGTAGGCTCCTGCTTTTCAAGGAGCCGTTTGTGAACTACTTACTACAATTATAATACAAATATTAAATTAATTAACAACTATATCACACAACTATTTTACTACAATTAGCCTACATACTATTTACAAATTCTAATTACTTAGAGACATCAGCTGCGGTCAAGAATGGATTCGAATTTTTTAAGCTCTTTTGTTCCTTAGTTTCATTTGGTAAGCTGTTCCACAAGGTGCAGCCGAGTAACTAATACTCTTTTTCATAAAATTTGTTATTGGTTTTCCCAGAGAAAAGTTCACATTATTACTGCGTAACTGATACGCTTGGTTCTCCTTGATTTGAAATATTTCCGGCTGTAACTGATTTTGGCATGGTATTATTTTTGATTTTGTGCACAAAAATATGCTTGTTTCTCTTTAGACGTTTACTTAATGGGGACCAATTTAACCCTCTTAGAACATCTTTAGTCCTGGTTTCATATGTTCTACCCGTAATCACCCTCGCAGCCCTATTCTGTAATATTTGCAGTTTGTTTAAGGTGGCTCCCTACAGTTTCTCGAAATTTTTAAATGTACATTTTGAACTCTAATTTTCATGTCAGTGACAAAATTATTACCAGAGGTAAAGTGTCTGGCAGCAGCTTGGTGTTATCGTGGTTGTTACCATGCAACTCATCCACTCAAATGCGACTCATCCACAGTCTTGGCACTCTCCATCCCTCCAACATAAACGAAGACTCTCTTTCATTTAAGCTTATTCAACCAGAGTAATATGACTTCCATTTCTTTGTTTACATCAAAACTGGTTGTAATATATTTTCATTCGGCTGATCAGGCTTCCCTCATTGCGGCATATTCTTAGCCCACAATTAAGCGTCTCTTTGGCAACGTAATGTATTCCAATTTGTTTTGATTTTTTGTTTTCTATTGGCCCATTTCTATCACGTGTTTTGCCCATATACAAAACATGTGTTCTCCCCTATTTATTTTGCATATTAACTCTCTTAACGAAGGTCCTCAGGTCGAAACGACGAGAAGTGTTTTTGGTTAAATTGCCACGTTACATTACGAGCTCGATTCATTCGATGCAAATAACCAACTCCAGATTACAATCGAAGCAAATAAAAAAATCGTTAATTTCCTGAACCTCGCCAACGGACCATATACGCCATAGTACGTTAAGCCAAACAACATATACCGCTTTATGTCCATCGCGAAAGCAACCACCCACCTGCAATCCTAAAGAATATCCCGATAGCAATCAACCAACATGCCAACAGTCTTTCGACGTGGTTGCATCCACTTACCAACAGGCCTTGCACAAAAGCGGATATAATTATACCCGATGGGAATAAGCAAGAAAACCAATCATGTAATTGCAGGGATAGGTCGTCGTGTCCCCTGGACGGAGAATGCTTAACAACAAATTTAATATACCAAGCAACAGTGGAGACAGACAAAACAAAAGAAACATACATTGGATTGACACAGAACAAGTTAAAAATCAGATATACCAACCACTTAGCATCGTATAGGGACAAAAACAAAATGAAAGCGACGCAGCTGAGCAAGCATATTTGGCCACAAAAGGACAAATGCGTCAACTATAAGTTGTCATTGTATTTTATATCGTCTTATTAGCTCTATACTTTGGTATATCGAGCACTCTACTCATATATATATATATATATTTTAAACACATATATGATATATATATATATATTCTAAACACATATTTGGTATATATATATATATATATATATATATATATATATATATATACCAAATATGTGTTTAGAATATATATATATATATATATATATATATATATATATATATATATATATATAATTATATATCATATATGTGTTTAAAATATATATATATATATATATATATATATATATATATATATATATATATATATACGTATATATATATATATATATATATATATATACAGGTGTAGTCATAGAAACTATCGTGAAGATAGAAACTAGCGCATACAAAATCGTCTGGGTAGAGTGCTCAATGCTAATGCAGAGCGGCATAACACAAGATGAGAAAACGCAGGTTACTTCATCGAAATTTTATTTACTACAGGACTGTTTCGTATGACAAGCTTATATAGCTTGCCACACTCGTCAGGTAAATAATATAATATTACAACAGCACGACGGACTATATACAGGAGATACATTACCATACATTCAGAGCACATCTGAAATGACTGCCAGACTACTTCGTCCTTTTAATATTGACGTAGCACATAAACCAGCACACAAACTTAGGTCATATTTTACAAAACACAAAGACAAAACGACAACCACCGAAACAAGAAATGCCATCTACCTGATTCCTTGCAAAGACTGTCCACAACGATACGTAGGGTAAACCTCGAAGAAAATCGAAACCCGAATAGCTGAACACAAGAACGCTATAAAACGACACGACCTTAAATCCCTACCAGCACTAGTACACACATACGACAACTTTCACACCTTCGCCTGGACAAAAACTGAACTACTGGGACGAGCACGAACAGAACACGCACGTGAATTCAAAGAAGCTTGGTTTAGTACAGACGACAATACTATTAACAGACATATCGATATTCCTGCAGTCTATCTGCAACTTAAGACAAAACGTTAGGACTCTATCAATAATCACATTAATGTAACTAATAATAACTTAAATCCACCCGCATCTGATACACAACAATCTAATCATATCTACTGGTTTGGAGACCACATAAAACTACAATACAACTCATTAACTATGTTGAGGTAGATTTATGCAAAAAATTGTTCCTTTCTCATCACATGTCTATTGTATTTTGCACAGATAAACCAATAGCAATTTTATAAGTAACATATTTTTCAAGTCAAGGTTGATGAGCTCAGCAAGACGAATGCCATTTGTAAATTTGGCTAAAATACAATAGACACGTGACGAGAAAGGAACCATTTGTTGCATAAACGTGTGTAATAACATAGTTAATGAGTATTGTTCTTTTATTATTATTTTATTCTCCAAACAATGTATATTCTATTAACTGTGGGGTGTTGTTGCAAAATGGAGTGACATATAATTATATCTAATAAGTATTTAGTATTGTATACCTTGTCAATGCTTTACTATAATAATTCTCGTCCAATCTGTCTTTCTTCAAAAGTTTATCTATACCAAATCATAAAGTAAAATTATATTTACTTTTACTTAAAATTTAAAAATTGCGCCCGCGTTTAAAGTTTTTTGCGCTGAATCTGTTTTTATGTCGACATTTTGCAAAAAGTTCACTTCTCTTGTTTTCTTTTGTGATATTTTTGTTTCCTTTGTAATATTTCATTAATTTTATTTTTCAAATTACTCTATTAAATTTTGATATCGAGCACGTATACTCTTTCATCTTGGATACTTAACTGATTGTATTATATTATATACACGGGCGGTCAAAAAGAACTGCTCAAATGTTGCTATTATCGTATGTAACAGGAATCGTAACAATCAATCTTTTATTGTACACTAGCAGTCAAAAAAAACTGTTTAGATACAAATTCATAAAAAAGAAGCGAACATAGGAGAGAGCTTCATAGGCATTTTGGATAATTCTCTTATTCCAAGCAATATTTCAATAATGTAATGCAACCTGCCACACTTCCAAGATATAGTCAAACAATGGTTTTAGGAAGAGGGACTGACAGAAATGGATTGGCCTGCACAGTCAAATACCTTAACCCTGTTGAAAATCTATGGGACAATGTTAAGGGGATAGTGCAAAAAAGGAATTAATTCATAAAGCGTCCATGATTTATGGGTTGCTGTAAAGACTGTCCATAGGATGAATTTCTTTTGACCGTTAAGATTACCACCTTAACAGAAAGTATGCCACGCCGGTGTAAGGCCGTCATCAATTATAAGGCCAAAGGAGGGTCTATAGTAATGTTAACAAGCATAAATTAAAGGACACGCCCACATGGGAATTTAGATTAGTCTAAATATAGCGATGATAGCGAAAGGAGCGAATAAAATATATATCTAGAACACGATGTATAAAAGAACATATTGGCGACGAAGATAAAATAATATACTTGAACGATGGCCGAAGAGCTAGATCAACCGCAACAACAACCGCCTATACAGATCATGCAATCTGTAACGATAAATCCTATGCCAGAATTTTCCCCAGATGCAAAAATTGGCACAAGTTTAGCCACAAGATGGAACAATTGGTAAGCAGACTTTGAGATGTATTTAACGGCAAGTGGCATTACGGATCCAACTAGAAAACGAGCATTGTTACTCTACCAAGCCGGACCTAGAGTGCGAGAGATTTTCAAACAAATCCCCGAGACTGGAACAGACGCAGATTACGACTACGTAAGGTACGAAGTATATCAATTCAGACAGGCAACACAAGGAAACAACGAGACCTTAGACCAATTCCATACAAGGGCAAGGCTAAGAACAATGTCAGAAACATGTGAATTCGGAGACGTTAATTTTGAAATTGAGGAACAAATTATAATAGGCGGAAATTCTTCGAAAATACGAAAGCGAGCATTGCGAGACCCTACATTTGATTTAAAAGCCATGATGTTAGAAGGACGGCGTGACGAACAGAGCACATATCAAGCAAGACAGATCGAATCAAAAGAACCAAAAGACGGTGAGACAAATAAATTAGAACAAAAACCAAGTACTGCATGGCGTAATTTGTAGAAATTGCGGGCGTAATTATCCACACACAGGAGCATGCCCAGCGAAAGGCAAAACCTGTAATAACTGTGGAAAATCGAATCATTTCGTCAATGTTTGTCGAGGAAAACAAAATCAAAAACAAGCGCGGACACTGCGAAATCAAACATATAGATCAAATACGAAGTATAAGCCCAAGAATCTAAAAACATTAGACCAGGAATCAAACTCCTCGGACAATGATTATTTATATTCCATGACAGATCAGAAACACAATAACAAAGTCAATGTAACGGTAAGCGGAACCAAATTAAAATAACAATTGACACTGGCGCGACAATAAATGTCATTGATCGTAACACTTTCAACAAAATGCAAGACGTAACATTAAATCGCACCAGCACGAAAGCTTTTGCATACGATGCGAAATCACCAGTCCAATTCCTAGGCAAATTCGAAGCGGTTATAGAAACACGGAAGCGGATTTCGGTGGCAACATTTTACATAGCAAAAGGCGAAAATAGTGGAAATTTACTTTCGCTATCCACAGCCCAAGACCTCGGACTTGTTAGCTTGCATATAGACAAACTCGCACCAGGAGACCTGATCTTAAGAGAGTCGCTGATTTACTAAACGCACCTCAGCCAAATAATGCGCATGAAACCAGAAGCCTTCTTGGTATGGCTAACTATTCTAGTAAATACATTAGAGATTTTGCAACCCTGACCGCTCCACTGCGTGAACTGACAAGAAAAGACGTTCGATTTGAGTGGACGCAAAAACACCAAACAGCATTTGAAAAGCTAAAGAACATACTTCGAAGAATGGTGTAGAAGTAACAGCTCAACAAAAGAATGGTCACAAAGTCACAAGAAATACATCGCATTTCAAGAAAATAATGAAACAAGAAGACGACACAGATGATGAATATATGGATGAGAAAATACCAGCAGAAATCCAACCAAGACCTAATTACCATCCTCATCGGAATGATGATAGTATAAGAAGATCATCTCGGAACAGACGACCGCCAGAGCGATACGGACTACAGTATCCTTCTGATATGATAAGATAATTAGTATGAACAGTATCATGAACAACTATATGATTCGTGATAGATATATATATATATATTTATATATATATATATATATATATATATATATATATATATATATATATATATATATAGATAGATACATTAATAACATAGACATAATATTCAAATTGGGGATTTTGTTTTTAAAACAAGGGAAGTGATGTAGTAATGTTAACAAGCATAAATTAAAGGACACGCCCACATGGGAATTTAGATTAGTCTAAATATAGCCATGATAGCGAAAGGAGCGAATAAAATATATATCTAGAACACGATGTATAAAAGAACATTATAGGGTCAACAAAATATTAATATTTCATATAGCTTAGCATGTAATCTAGTCTATATCTACACGTATATATTGTTAGAGGGACTGTTACGTTCATTTGAGAGCATTTTAACTTGTTTTGAGCAGTTCTTTTTGACCTTCGCATTTCTAGAACGATGCTCTACCGTCTGAGCTACAAGGCCAAGTTGGGAACGACTGTGATTTTACTTAAGTTGTTATTGACAATGCGGAGTTTCGTCCTTTTACATGTCGTTATGCAGTTACTTCTGCAAATGTTGAGGACGAAACTCCGTAAAAGGACGAAACTCCGCATTGTCAATAACAACTTAAGTAAAATCACAGTCGTTCCCAACTTGGCCTTGTAGCTCAGACGGTAGAGCATCGTTCTAGAAATGCGAAGGTCGCGGGTTCGATTCCCACCGCGGTCAAGTAGAATTGTCTGCTTGCCCGGTTGGTCATACTTGTGTAGAAGAACAAATACACCTTACATATATATATATATATATTATATTATATCTATATATATTATATATATTTATATATATATATATATATATATATATATTATGTATATATTATAATATATATGTATTGTCTATGGTGTCGATTAACAAATACGTTATATATACATATTATCATGGATAATTAAATCACTATTATTGGTTAATAAAATCACTATTAATTCTTTTAAAATAAGTCTTTTAACTATCCATGATAACATTTACATGTGAGCCGCATATATATGTAAGTATATTTTCACATGTGAAGCACATATGAACCATATGTGTTGACAGATATTCCCATGTAACCACATGCGCATCACAAGTGGTTCACATGTGTATACCATGTGAATCACATGAGAAACACATATGGTTAACTTGCATGCGTGAATTTTTGAATTTTTGCCACTTATCACAATACTGCAAAGTTTCTTTGAAACTACACTAATAAACGGATGTAATTACCGTACCAGTACCTTGAGCGTAAAAATATCCTGTAATAACTTTCCAAAATTTCTTAACCAGCTCTATTACAAGTCAAACAACAATATGTTAATAAATGCGATGTATATAAAATTTTACATTTGGGACTTTTTTCATACACCCTGTATATTTCAAAACGGATGTAATTACCGTACCATTTAATATTGCGAATCCTATAATAATATAAGGCTCGGTTATTGATCCTTCTCTCGTGATTGGTTGTTTTCTAGGTTGCACCGGGATGTATTTCTGGTATTTCAATTGACATTTTTCTTTTTGATCATAAAAAGGTTGCAGATCTTTAACATAAAAAAGATTACACTGTTAATTTTGAGGTACTAAAATAGCACCACCGTAGGTGCCAAATCAACACAATGCAGTGGTGTTAAATAGAAAGTGCTATTTTGGTACCAATTTCGGTGCTAATTTAACACCACCAAATCTGACATTACGCTTAAAGAGCCAATATGACACCTTATAAATTCAGCGCCTTTGCAAGGTGCTAAAATAGCGCCTATTTTGCGGACAGAAAGTGCTAAATCAACGCCATATTGAGAGTTAAATATGGTGTGTCAAAATATTTTCATTTTTCACTGCTGTTTACAAAAGTAACCAATATTACAACCAAGGCCAATACATATACAGTCAAACATCAAACTAAAAGTCAGAGCTCTAACAGCCATTTTAAAACTTGACAAGTTTGTTTTTTTTTCTACTAGATGAGAGCAAACCAGATCAGTGGGGCAAACTGTTCCATAAAGCTTGCCCCCAGTATCCAAAGGATGGTTTTTACCGGCTGTTCGTGCGCAGTTTAGGTTAAAAAGTAGGTTACATCGCTGTATATAACAACGGTCCGACATTAGAAACCACTTTAGTTCGTCTAATAAATGTGTTACATGGTCAAATTTTCTCGACTTTGTTATGGTTTTCGCTAATGAGGAAATTAAAAGAGTTCGCAGTTCCGCCAAGGCAAATGTGACGCGTAAAATTAATAGACTTAATGAGCTTATATGTCTAACAACAATATTCAAGCTGTAGAAAAGACAAAAAACGACCTTTACGAAATTGTGAACGAATTTCAACTCGCGCATAAAGCTTATCACGAAAGCCTAGATAATGAAGAAGAGAAATCGAACTCGACTCTTTATTGCGCAACTGCGTTTGAAGAAGCGGAAAAACATCAAACAAAGGTACGTCTGTGGCTAAGCGAACAACGGAAGGATACACCTTTAGCGGCTGAGATCCGTCCCGTGGACTCGAATAGTTGCGTCAGTTCCTTGAGGTCTAGAAAATCTAAGGCGAGTTCGGCGAGAAGTTCAGCGAGTGCCAAAGCCATAGCTGCTGCGAAAAAGACAGCGTTAGAAGCAAAGGCAGCTTCACTTTAAAGATTGCATAAACTCCAGTTGGAGGAGTAAAAACTTCAACAGAAAAGGGTTGAAATAGAGCCACGCTCCGAAATAGCTGTCGCAGAGGCCGAACGAAAGGTATACGAGGAGAGTGAAGTCGAAGAAATGTATAGTGAAGTAAATAAGGCTAGTTCTCGGCATGAATATTCGCAAAAAATGAACAGTGCTCGCACGAGTAGCCTGGCGGAAGGATCGAGAAAGTATCACCATACATCATTCAATAATCAGTTAGATAACCCTGTGTCTAGTAAAGTGCTTCTTGACCCTAAAGAATCGAAGGACACTGAAAACACAAGTATTCAGCATAGCAATTTTCGCGATGGGTCATTTCAAATCCTGGTGGAAACACAAGATCGTGGTGTTTAACAACAAAGTGTTATGGCATTAACACTACCCCAGCCCACGTTGCAGATCCCGACTAGTCACTGTGATTTTGTTCGTGCCTTCGAGCATCTAGTGGAGGCAAAGACCAAGAATCCAAGTGCGCGGCTGTACTATCTTGTACAATACACGGCAGGTCACGTACAAGAATTAGTGAAGAGCTGTCTTTCCATGGAACCCAGTCAAGGATACGCCGAAGCAACACGGCTATTAAAGGAGAGGTATGGTCAAAATGATCAAATTTCTTCGGCTCACGTTAATCGTTTGATGGATGAACCTGTCATAAAATCAGACGATGGTGTTGAGCTCCAGAAGTTTTCCATCCAGTTAACGAGTTGCCCTAACACGTTGAAGGAAATCGGGTGTATTGGGAAACTCGATAATTCAGATAACATGAAAAGGATCATCAACCGTCTTCTCACCGCAATGCGATATAAATGGCGTGATGTAGTTGACCGAATCGTGGAACAAGAAAGAAGAGGCATAACAATCAACGATGTTACGAAGTTTGTCACAAGTCGAGCGAGAGCTGCAAATCATCCTGTTTTTGGAAGGGTAGATAAAGAAAGGATTGATCTACAGCAAAGGCGAACACATACACCAGGAATCAGAGCGAATGGATTTGCTACTCATGGCGAGCAGGACAACCAAGAAACAACGAAACGGAAGACAGGTCCATCATGCAAAGCAGAACCACTGGCTTTCACGTTGTAAAAGGTTCCGTAAACAGTCGTTAGAGAAATCAAGCGGAATTTATCAATTTGATCCCACCGTCAAAAACGGCCTGCTGCGTGTTGGTGGTCGACTGCGACGAGCCGAGATCAACGAAGAATCGAAATACCCCTGCATCTTGCCAAAAAACTACCACGTTGTCACCTTAATCGTGAACTATTACCACGTCTCGGGGCATTCGGGCGTGGAGCATACGTTGGCCCTCATTAGAGAGAGATGCTGGATAGTCCAGGGAAGGTCAAAGGTTAAGAATATTATCGGAAAATGCTACAGCTGTCGAAAACGATCAATCTCCAGTGTCCCAACAAAAGATTATCTTCCACGCGATAGAGTCACCCCTTCGAAGCCGCCATTCACTTATACCGGAGTTGATTGCTTTGGGCCATTCGAGGTGAAACGGGGAAGATCAACTGTTAAGCGAAATGGCGTCCTTTTTACTTGTCCCACTGTTCGTGTCATCCACATCGAAGTGGCCGCGTCTTTAGACACGGAATCCTTCATCAACGCCCTTGGACGTTTCGTTGCAAGAAGAGGTCAGCCTGAAGAAATACGGTCAGACAATGGGGGGAACTTCATAAGAGGGGAGAAAGAACTCAAGCAAGCAGTAAATGACTGGAATCAAACACAAATACACGAAGCCCTTTTACAGCAAAACGTTATGTGGACCTTCAATCCCCCAGCTGGCTCTCATCATGGAGGCGTTTGGGAGAGGTGCATACGGACAGTCGGAAAGGTGATGCTGGCAACCCTAAAGGAGCAGCAGTTGGACGAAGAATCCCTCAACACCGTTATGTGTGAAGTCGAGTCCCATTACCAAATTGTCGGACGACCCCCGAGATAATGGGCCCTTGACCCCAAACCATCTACTTTTGCTACGCTCAGGATCAAGTGTTCCTCCTGGTGTTTTCTGTAAGCAAGACGGCTATGGCAGAAGGAGATGGCGTCAGGTGCAATACATGGCAAACGTATTCTGGGGTCGATGGTTGAAGGAATATCTGCCGTCCCTCCAATGAAGGCAAAAGTGGAGCAACCCGCAAAGAAATTTCATCGTCAACGACGTAGTTTTGGTGCTGGACGAGAACAAGCCGCGATATAATTGGCCTCTCGGACGCGTGGTTGAAGTCTATACAAACACAGGCGACAAACTCGTGCGATCGGTGAAGCTCAAGATGAGTTCATCTGAACTCGTGAGACTGGTGGACAAAATCGTGCTACTTGAGGACAAAATCGTGCTACTGGAGGACAAAATCGTGCTGCTGGAGGAAGATCAAACAGGGAAGTGATGAACAAGTACAGTACATAGTTCAAACTATTCAAACTATTCTATATTTACTGGCATAATCTATTGTTCATTTTACTCATAAAACGCCTTTAAGGGGCCGGTATGTAGGTTTGAAACACGTAGATAGATATCGATACGAATACGTAATGCATGCAGTAATAAGGACTTTAGTTTAGGGGTTTCGTCAGTATATTAGGGACCTTAAGCATGTAGGACGGCAACACGACGAGGACGCGGCTGAAATTCTCCTTTAAATTAATTCTATGGCTAAGTTGTTGTTTTATATTATTAATTGTACCAATTCAGTGAGATATAAGGCGTTAAAAACATTGTGTTTATGTTTAAGGACAATTCTATAGAGCCTAATTCGAGGGAGGGCTCGCTGGGCCTGAAATGCAACCGTTCTAGGCAAGACGTAAAAAACGACGTTTTCCCGTTGTAAACAGAACGAAGACGACGTCTAAAACCCATCATGGGTCTTTAAATATTCATTTCTTTTCAATGTCCCATTGTATTGATAGCCGTCGTCGTCGCGTTCGCGTCCTACATGCTTAAGGTCCCTAATATTATTAGATCGGACAGAGCGAGGACGCTAAACAAACTATTATCATTCTATTCAAGTTGGTGTGCGCTAACCAAAGTAAGTCGTTTTTTTATCCTGTTGTGTTGATTAGTATCATCAGTTGTTATTCATGTATAAATTCATGTTTATGTTGGTTTGCGCGCATGCCATAATCTGTGTAATCCCTTTCTAAATTGTGTGGTTCGAACCTATAAACCAAACCTAATTGATATCACCTAATTGATATACCTAATTAATACCGCAACCAAATTCTAGTTACCGAACCTCATTCCTTTTTGAGAATTAACTGGTGTTCAAAGTTATTGTTTGTGTGTTATCTGCGTATGGAGCTCGTCATTGCTGCGCATCATACTTGAATCGAGTCTTGGGACTTTGCGCATGTTAATAATCTGCCCAGAGAGTTTACATCGGTTAGCATAATGTTTGACCTTTCTCCTATATTGTCTGGAACTGACGTAAGGTGTTGATTTGACGTGAGTAAGGACGGCGTTATCACAACGCCATCTCTGATATCATCACCGATATAAGTCAGTGGTCAAGAGTTTAAATACTTTAAATACTCGAGCAGCCTTTTGAAATGTAGTTTGTTTGACTGAATGGATGACACCGATTGACACGTGGAAGTCCTCGTCGATTTGCCATTCGATGAAACGCTGTCAGAAGTCTTCGGTTGTCATATTAAGTGTTAATTCGAAATGCACTGCCCTAGTGTCGCATATGAAGATACCTACGTACGATTTAATCCTCTGCGTCTTCTGCTCGGTCTTTTGTTTCATTTTGAGATACAAAGGACCCATGAAATCGAAACCAACATTGGTAAACGCTGGTACAACTTGGACTCGTTCCATTGGAAATGGGGACATGCATTTCTGTTCTTGTGGCTTTGTTTTCCAATGTTTACGAACAAGATATTTGTTGAGTATCCTTTTTACTTCCCTTCGACCATTAATTTAAAAGCCAATATTGTTAATTGTTGTAGAATTGCCAGTGTCGTTACCGGACCTGCATGTTTTACCTTTATATGTAGATGTAATACAAGTTTTTGCAATAAGCTCATCATGATGTGGAATTATGATCTGGGGTCGGTTTATCAAGCCCGTTTAGCTCAAACGGTGGTTAAGTTCAAAATAGAAAGCAAGTTATTATTATTCAACAAGGAAACTAAATGTTTTTAACCTTAATACAAAGATACTGCTTACAACTACATAATTATTCAGTGCATTATATTCAAGTTGACCCATTCAAGATAGATCTAAGAGTGTTTTTTAATTTTGCTAAACGCGCTTGATACTACCGGCCCCTGATGCTTTGCTTCTTAGTCAATTTGTGCAAATTGGAGACGCCCTCCGACGCGATGGATGCCTTTGCTCGTCGTAGAATGGATCTAAGTGGAACAATGGGCTGGACGATGAAATATCTTCTTTGTTAGGCAGCTGATTATATTCGGTTTTAAATACTCTTTTTTGAATCATACTTAATAACATATCTTCTGTATTTTTAAGTTCATTAGCCGTTGAAAGCCCATTTCGGAGGGCAACATTCCTTTGAGTCCATTTCAAGATTCGAGCTAATATTCGAATTGTCCTTTGCCGTGTTTCATACATGGTCAAAATTGTCGGATACTCGAAGGCAAATTCAAAACACGATAATAATAATTGCCACACTAGCTCATTCTGATTAAGCAAGTATAGAAATGCGACAGACCTGAGCAAATACATTTGGAAACTCAAAAAGTCAAAGGCTAATTATGCGATAAACTGGCGTACTTATTATAGTGCCCTTGACACAAAATGCGATTTTTACACCATGGAAAGTACAAATTTGTCCGAGTGTTATGGCCATCGTAACAGAACACTGGACCTAGCGATCATCGTGACGTCACACAAGTGAGTCGCTGGAAACTCACATTGTATTTCCTATAGGGTTCTATAGGTTATGGTTAGGTTATTTCTAAACAGTACTGTAGGTGAAAATGCCGAACCGATCGATCTCCTCACTAAGTGAAATGTCTGTTTATACTGCTGCAGATAGATAAATTTACGGAGTCACCAGTCAGTTGTATGCGATCAAAAGGCGAGTTTAAAATACGTAACTAACCACCATGGTTCTTGTTATTTACGTACAAGCATAATCCTAACAGAAACTATGTTATGGGGATATGCTGTTATTTTACTATGTTTATAGCTACGACAAAATTTCTTCTAAAACGTACGTTAACCTACAGACACAGTTCCTACGCCATGTGCATAGAACTTTCAACGATCGCCCCAATTTTGAGGCTTTCAAACGGCTCTAAAATTGCGACGTTTTAATGCAATCGAAAAATTCTTTCAGCGAAAATACTCGGACACATGAGTCTTTTCCACAGTGTAAAAATCGCATTTTGTGACTTGAAAACATTTACTTAAACGAGTTTGAAAAAGCTACACGTTTATTATTTGCTAATTTTCAATTTTCCCAACTTTAATTAAGCTTCTTTAATCAGAGGTGCCAACATATTAAGTATTGTGATAAAAATATGCCAGTTGGTAGCTTGTAACAAAAATGCATGCCATCAGCGTGTAGCTACCTTTCATAAGGTCGTCACTTTTTGCATTTCGAACGCTGCGTTGTCCTATACCTACTTTTGTGTAGAAAATCCAGCCAAATGGTACTGATTTTTAATTTTTTTTATTTGCAGTAATTAACTTGCCTTTGAAGGCGTGGAATGGCGTCGGCATGGCAAATCTGGTGACATTTAAGCTATTGAATTTTCGCAGAGTGAACCCTCTTTACATATCTATACTCATTGATCCGGTTGTGCGATGGATATAACCGGACGAAAACAAAGCAATTTGATTCGCTAAAAAACGCGGATGCTGAACCAGAAGAAATATTAAAATTCAGTGTAACCGGAATCAATTTCAGTAGCAAGAAATTAAACTATCTATCATTGCAAATATTTCAAACACGAAGTATGTAAATGACTGCAAATGATTGCGAGTTGCATTATTGGCGACGTCAAACCACGTTTCCGCAAATGCTAATCTAAAAATCTCGGTTATTAACGACACTTTTACGTCTCGTGAAAATATATTCTTAAAACGTGTTTACCTACCTCTTTTTGCATCATCGCTAAAAGCATTTGAAAATTCTTCCTCTTCATCAGACAATTCTTCACTTTTAGAATCTTTCGCCTCAACTATATCAACGTATTATTAAAGTTCCCCTGACACAAAATGCGATTTTTGGAAAGTACGCATTTGTCCGAGTGTTAAAGTAAAAGAACTTTTCCATTTTATAAAAACGAAAAAATTTTAGAGCCATTTGAATCGATATATTTTTGAACCCATGGCCGTCGTAACAGAACACTGGACCTAGCGATTATCGTGACGTCACGCAAGTGAGTCGCTGGAAACTCACATTGTATTTCCTAGGGTTCTATAGGTTATGGTTAGGTTATTTCTAAACAGTACTGTAGGTGAAAGTGCCGAACCGATCGATCTCCTCACTAAGTGAAATGTCTGTTTATACTTCTGCAGATAGATAAATTTACGGAGTCACCAGTCAGTTGTATGCGATCAAAAGGCAAGTTTAAAATACGTAACTAACCACCATGGGTCTTGTTATTTACGTACAAGCATAATCCTAACAGAAACTATGTTATGGGGATATGCTGTTATTTTACTATGTTTATAGCTACGACAAAATTTCTTCTAAAACGTACGTTAACCTACAGACACAGTTCCTACGCCATGTGCATAGAACTTTCAACGATCGCCCCAATTTTGAGGCTTTCAAACGGCTCTAAAATTGCGACGTTTTAATGCAATCGAAAAATTCTTTCAGCGAAAATACTCGGACACATGAGTCTTTTCCACAGTGTAAAAATCGCATTTTGTGACTTGAAAACATTTACTTAAACGAGTTTGAAGAAGCTACACGTTTATTATTTGCTAATTTTCAATTTTCCCAACTTTAATTAAGCTTCTTTAATCAGAGGTGCCAACATATTAAGTATTGTGATAAAAATATGCCAGTTGGTAGCTTGTAACAAAAATGCATGCCATCAGCGTGTAGCTACCTTTCATAAGGTCGTCACTTTTTGCATTTCGAACGCTGCGTTGTCCTATACCTACTTTTGTGTGGAAAATCCAGCCATATGGTACTGATTTTTAATTTTTTTATTTGCAGTAATTAACTTGCCTTTGAAGGCGTGGAATGGCGTCGGCATGGCAAATCTGGTGACATTTAAGCTATTGAATTTTCGCAGAGTGAACCCTCTTTACATATCTATACTCATTGATCCGGTTGTGCGATGGATATAACCGGACGAAAACAAAGCAATTTGATTCGCTAAAAAACGCGGATGCTGGACCAGAAGAAATATTAAAATTCAGTGTAACCGGAATCAATTTAGCAAGAAATTAAACTATCTATCATTGCAAATATTTCAAACACGAAGTATGTAAATGACTGCAAATGATTGCGAGTTGCATTATTGGCGACGTCAAACCACGTTTCCGCAAATGCTAATCTAAAAATCTCGGTTATTAACGACACTTTTACGTCTCGTGAAAATATATTCTTAAAACGTGTTTACCTACCTCTTCTTGCATCATCGCTAAAAGCATTTAAAAATTTTTCCTCTTCATCAGACAATTCTTTACTTTTAGAATCTTCCGCCTCAACTTTATGACCTTCTGTTGGCCTATCCTTTTTTGCTCTTGTGAAACAAGAATTAAACACCAACAGGCCAAAATTATCCTTATTTCTATGAAGCAGCTCGGCACAGGCGTCGTATAAATTCTTAGGCTGTCTGTCGCCATTCGGAAGAATTGTAAAATCACCTTCCTTCTTAAGATCATGGCCATCGAAATCATTTTCTATCAATACGACAGGTGCTGAGACGCCAAGCGCTTCAAACACGATAGCTAAAATGGTATCTTTCTTTTCTTTCATCTTGTCTTTCCACTTACGCAAATTCTTGTAACTAACAGAACAGCAATGTGTTACAACCACAACAAGATTTGGATGTCTTGTGTCAACCACTTCAAGCAATTTAATTCCTCTAAGGCATTTTGAAAGACTGCTATTCTTACCCTTGACCCGGGTATCATTCACGTTCACCACCAAAAATACAAGATTAGGATAAATAGACTGCTCAGGTAAGCCTGGATGTGTTTCGAAAAATCTTTTTATCGAAACAAAATTACAAGCATCTTGCTTCACACCAGCAGTATCGTTTAAACCTGGTGTATCTATAATACCCATTTTTAAATCGCAAACTTCGTAATTTGAGTCGTCAGTGGTCAGAATGTATTCGCTGGTTGCTTTAGTTTCGGACTCAGAACAACTGGTGAGCGCGACAGGGATTCCTTCTCCTGTATCAAGTAAATGGTTTATCGTAGATGACTTTCCAACCCCAGTACTTCCTACCACCAAAATCATCGTAGAATTAAATGGACGTTTGATGTTTACACTTAATAGCAAGCAGTGATAAAGTTTTGCTCTGGGTGGTGGGTCGGCGTCCCGATCAAGGTTTTCAAATAGTCTTAGTTCCTCCTTAAAATCTTCAGCTGAAGCTGGCAAAGGTTTCAATTCGGCAGGAGCCCGGAAGAAACTAGGCATCATTCTTTCTGCTAATTTTACCCAAACTGCCATTGTCATTCAGCTACGTCAAAATCCTATACAAAAAAAATATTTTTTTTACCATATTTCTGGATAAAGTTCGTATCACAAACAATTGGTAAAATCGATATTCGGACAATAACGAGGTTCGATTTGACTACTACTACCACAAGTTTTCACTGACCTATTGAACTCGTGATTGGTTAATCTAATAGACTTATATAGACTTGGCCTCAAAGGTAGCGATGGTGAAATACAAATCTGAATTCTAACCTCATCATTATGATAACGATGATGATGCGGGGGAAATGTGTTAAATTTCAGGTCGGTAAAGTTCGAGTTAAGCCCTTCGAGTTTAAGGAGCAGTGTCACCGCGTGCGCATCTTTTCTGCGCATAAATCAAACTTGATATATAACAGGATGTTTTTTTCAAGTTTATCAAACGCGAGATGGCTGCTACTCAGGGGGCAAAGCATGGTGACAAACGCTATAATTCAGGCAGGAGAAGATCCCGGTTACAACAAATATAGTGACAGCGATTTCGCTGCGCATTAGTTATCCTTGGAGTATCGTAGAAGGTAAAATTTCAATTACTTATTTCATAACTTCTCATCTTATGGCTACACATCTCCCCATGAAAGGTACTGAGAATTATATTTGGACCTCTACCATGTTAGTATGGTAAAAAGAATGACTTTCTAAAATCACCTAATTTTGTTATCAGATAAGTAGAGAATTCATTGGGGTTTTTTAAAAAGGCTGTATGTCTACTTTCCTTCTACTTTGATAGATTAAATACATCTATGTTTTCTGATGATGAGTTGTTTTCAGAGCATAGTGGTTATGATGGGGATGTTAGGTATTATATATAATTGTTATGTGTGCCTATATTAAGTAATTTAGCTTGTAGGTACACCACGTAAGTATGTTTAATACTGCAAAGCTTTCGATGCGTTAACCCGGGCCTTTATCAGTGCAATTACCTGAATCACAGTTTAATGATATACAGTTAGGGAACTCGCGGCGGAGCCCTTTGATGTTGCTGTCCCCCTGCCTACGCGCCAAGCAAATTGCTCTGGCAAGTGTATTTGACTCTAAAGTAAGGGGGAAAGGTGTTCGAAAGACGAAAAATGTTAATATTTTAAAGCTGGCTCTATCTATCGATTTCCATTTTTGCGCCTAAATTTTAAAAATAAACGGTAAATGGTTGTTTTTTTTGTAAAAAATATATGCGTTAGGTTAAAGAGGTAAGAAATACAAGCGCGAATGATTTTCTTTATAAATATCAAGCTGATTGCCAATATCGTCTCCGATTATAAATTAGGCAGTTATTTTTCCATCCAGAAAACGTCTAAACTGATCTTAAAACAAGCATGATATTGATGTGTTATTTCTACAATTCAAAACACACGAAAAAATTTCTTTGAAAATAATTTTTTTTGCCATAAACTAGCAAAAACTACATGTTTTTTATTCGAATCTTGAACGTGAATTCAAAGGATTTACAATAAACAAATGCAACTTTTACCTATATATACAATACTTTTTACATGAATATAATAATATATATCCAACTTCACACACAAATGGTAAATGCTAACAGACATTAATTTCAGTTCATACATGATTGTAATATTCATGAAGGACATGCAAATCAATTTCCAATCTAATCTATGCAATTCTGTGTGGCTTCTATGAGATGATTGAAAGCTATTTTCCAATTTTTGGATGTGAATATTTAATGAAAAATAGCTACAAATATTTTGTGCTCTGAAACTATAATATGGTGATGAACTGAATGTGTCCTAACCTTCCCTTTTACTTGGAGTTTCAATGTTGTAGAATGTGCATTGCAGGATAGATTCAAGAACAAGGCTGCTGCTGCTGCCGCTGGATAATTCAGTTCTATAATTTCCATTGTTACCGGCCCGAAGAGGGTCCGAAGAGTCCAAAGTGAAGTAATAATACACATAGGACACATAATATATAGGGTTCACAAATATCACTAAACTGCGTATACGTTGTAAAACGTTTTTTAATAGCTATCTAACTTGCTATCTTAAACAGTAGAACTCAATGTCTTGATATGTCATCTGCTCAAAAGTTAACTTTGAGAAGATTGTTTTGCCATCTAGAAAAAAATACGACTGCATGGTGAAATATAGTCATATAGACCTACATTTATTAGATGAAATACCAAACTTTGAATTTTTACCTGGCAGTTCTAGAAGCTTCGTGTGAAAATCGCACTCCTCGTAGTTGTATTTCCCGTTTTTTTCCCTTTTCATTCGTATTATAGTCATTTTTAATCCAAAAGGAGCAATGTCGGATGGATAAATAAAATTTGTCAAAAAGACGAAGAGCGAAAGACCCTTCGCTTTAAAATTGCATTTTTCTGCTAAAAAATCGAATTTTCTTTATTAAAATGTGCAAAAACACTTGCCAGAGCCTAGCGCATGCGCATTAAAAACAGGGGAACACGATTTGCCGCCAGTTCCACCCCTGTGTAGTCCTCTGTGCCTGAATACACATTCACACGTCACTTAAATATCACGTTAAGACCCACACAGGCGCGAATTTTCAACGCTCTTTATTTTTCAAAATCAAATAAAATTTAATTTATCCTAATATTCTTGTATATTACATAACAATAATAGATTTTGACTGCTCTGGCGTCCATACTCCATAGATTCCAAATTTTGCTTCCAGAATTTAATTTATATGCTTCTGAAAACTCAAAATTCGCGTCGCGTTGCCGCTTCGGGTCTGTCTGTGTTGACCTTTAGTCGTGATTTGTTAACTCGCGCCATTTTTCACTTACGAAATAATTATGAAAAGGAAATAGTTCTAATTAATGCGCGTCACAGCGCGTGTTCTAGACAAGTATTTAGCTAACAGACATTGAAAAGAGCACGCTACGTACTATTGAGCGGCTTATCCTCTTGGGCGATAGTTTGGTTTGATGTTTATACATTTCAATAGATTCTCATTTTACGAGAGACGGTATACTTATCATTCGCTAAAATGGTTGCATTTTTCCATTTAATGCGATGATCATAAGTCCACGCATGATGAGCTACAGCAGACTTATACAGTTTACCTTTCTCGCAGTTCGTCTTATGTTCTTTTAGACGTATTGAGAGATTTCTACCGGTCTCTCCAATTTAAACCAAACCACATTCACATGGATTGCGGTACACACCAGGTTTCTGAAGTTCATCGACGCCATCCTTGTGCGTGTAAAGAGCGCGCAACAATTTGTTATTGCTTGAATGGTATATTTGTATTCCAACTTCTTTTAAAATCCTAACGATTTTATACGAAGCTGGACCAATATATGGTAAACAGACAGAGGATAGATATTCAATGTCTTGTTTATGTCTTTGCTGTTCACTCATAGCATGATCTATGAATTTCTTGGGAAAACCATTCATGTGTAGAACATCCTTCAAATGCTTTAACGCTGAGTCAATGCTATTTGAGTCACAAATTGTTTTAGCACGGTTGATTAATGTTTTGCATACTGATCTTTTAATGCTAGGATGGTAAAATGAATTATAATTCAGATATCTGTCAGTGTGTGTTGGTTTTCTATAAACTTTATCACCCAAAGTTCTGTCCCCCTTTATATCAAAAAATAAGATATCTAAGAAAGATATAGAGTTATCGTTCTGTATTTCTAATGTAGATTTAATTGAAGGGTGTATATTATTAATATGATCTAAAAATTTATTCAAATTTTCTAAATCATGCGACGAACTACTTAATGTGTCATCTACATATCTAAACCAGAAACCATGCAGGTTTTAAACATGCTGTAGCTAGAGCTTTCTTTTCAAATTCTTCCATGAATAAATTGGCCATAACTGGTGATGTAGGACTACCCATAGGAGCACCATGTGTTTGCATGCTCGTAGTATTTCTCCCGCCTCTAAAAATTAGTTGTATTCAAGCACAATTTCTGTAGTTCATATATACTTTCGGGAGAAAGGCTAGACCTTTTAGACAGCGTATCATCCGAAAGCAGCCTGTCTTTCGCAATGTTACACGCCTCATCTATCGGCACATTAGTAAATAAACTAACTACGTCGAAACTGACAAGAATGTCATTTTCGCCTAATTTAACATCTTGCATACTCGCATCAAATTCTTTAGAATTAAGTACATGGTGTTCAGTTAGACCAACTTCTGGTTTTAAAATTCTAGCAAGGTATTTAGCTATAGATTATAAGTCGGTGAACCTTGAGATGCAACTATAGGCCTAAGAGGTTCACCTGATTTATGTATTTTGGGTAAACCATAAAATTTAGGACACCCGCTACATGAAGGTCTCAAGTAATCATGAGGCTTTTGAGACAAAATACCTGATTTTCTAAGTTCAGATAGTTTAGAACATACTTTACGTTCAATATTGGCTGTAGGATCACGTTTTAGCTCTTTATATGTTGGTGTTTCAAGAAGAGCACGGATTTTACTTTCATATTCTAAACGATTTAATAAAACCGTGGAGTTTCCCTTATCAGCCTTTAAAATATGTATAGACTTATCTGCCCTTAGGTTCCTCACTGCATCCTTCTGCCCCTTGGAAAGATTTGATTTGGGTGAAGTTGTACGTCGAAAAACCTCGGTTATTTCAACGCGAATATTGGATGCGATATCATCCCTGATAGCTCTAATCGAATTTTCGGTAAAGAAATATCCATAGAATTTCTAGTCCTGTAGTAGCTACGAGTCGCATTAAGTTGAAAATAATTAAGCAAATATGTTGGGACGATACCCAAGAGACATTTCTTGACTAGTATTACAGTATGTATTTTTAATTTCGTCTATTACTTAGTGTAGTTAAGTCTTGTTAACAATTCATCAGTTTCGATACCAGACTTTGGATAAATCAAGTTAGCGGCTCTACGTTGAAGTTTCTCTAAGGAAACGATGTTACAACGTCACAATAATCCAACGTTGGTAGAATCATAGCCTTATAAATCATATCAGTGGCCGCAATAGTTAAGTTACGTCGAGAACGTCTTAAAGCACCCAGCTTCTTTGAAGTCTCTTT